TCGCGCCGAATTTCGGCTGAAGGCCGCGCAGAATTTGAATCGCTCGGCTCCCGCCTCTGGCAAACGATACCCACACTATGGCGGTGAGATAGGACTTTTTTAACCGAACCGAATCTGGTCATGCATCAGTCCAGGGAGCTCCGAGTGAGCGTTGTGGGTTCGCCCGCAGCTCACCAGGGTGTTCCTTTCTCCTGTGTTCCGTCTTTCCGACTCCAAGTGTTGTGTGGGGCGTCGTTGTTGTCTTCGAGTCGAAGAACGCGTGCTACTCACGGAAGACCTTACCGAAGACCTCACCGAAGCGAGGATGTTTTCGTTATCTAGGCGCTTGTTCGACTGCAGGAGAAATGAGGAAGGAACACAAGGCAGATGACCACTGGTATCGTCTACTACGACGTCTAGTATGAGTGTAGTATTCGTGAACGTACCGGGACTGCCGCTACCGGCAGCAGATTCAGTCAGTGCGAGTCTTCTCTAACAGTGTGCGACAGCAGGTTGTCGATCAACCGCCAGGCTATTGTAGCCATGGCGTGGTACAGCCACTTCATTACTACTACGGTAGGACGAAGGCCCGAGTGCCCGACCTGCCAGCGTCAGCGTGTAGAGGATCTCGCTGCTGCTGCTGCAGTACATCACCGGTCATGCGCTGTTGATACGGACGGTAAGAAGGTCATCTGGAAGTGCATACATATATTATGATATATCTACACACACACACACGGGTGTGGAAATTATGGAGAATGATCGACAGCGCAGAAGAGAGAGCTGAGTACAGGTATACGTGCAGCTGGGGATTCTTGTGGAAAAAAGGCGACAGACCAGCGAACCCAGCATATAGCTAGCACGGAAGCGAATGTAGACGTGTGTGCTGTCCGAGCCATGCCAACGGTCTGTAATACATTCGCTCCTTCAACGAAGCGTAGCCGCCGACTGAAGGAAAAAAGCGAATGTAGACGGTAATTGGCCAATCAATCATCGACTGAAGGAGAGCGTTGGCTGTGTGGTGGGCGTTGAATGGGGCGGGGGGAGCGTTGGATGTTGAACGACTCGCGGACGTGTGTTGTCGTCAACAAGAAGCACGATTTTCAATGACTTCTCACGTCAGGAGGACTTTCTTCGACGTCGTGTAGCCGTAACTACGGTTAGGTACGTCACGGAAAACCCCATGTGGCGGGCGAGTCTGCCCTCAGCAGTTAGCTGTAATGTAGCGGGCGATGCGGCGGTTGTTGTTCATGCATACGGTCAACCAAGACGGCATGCTCAGTTGCCCGAAGCAGTGGGAGCTGTACAGTTCTTGCACAGACGGAGTGTTGTTGGGTAGTTGTAGTTCGTCAGTCCTTAGCTCGTAGTTGGTAGGTAGCATGAGAATGGCGACGTCGTCCTCCTGCCGGAGTGTCGTCGAGCAGAGCGCAGCCCAGCTATCGACGTACTGGGATCGGGTCCAACCTGTAGCGGCCAGTATCAGCCAGCCACACACGTGGCTGGGGGGCAGTCCTGCAGCCTTTTGACACGTGGCTGGGCGGCAGTCGTTGTATGTGTCTGCGGTCCGTGCCTGTGCACGGTTGCTAGTTGCAGAGGGGGGGGCACCAACTTCCATTGATTCTGAAGCCTTAGTTTGAACCTTGGTTGCGGCAGGGAGCGGCAGGGAGCGGCAGGGGGAAACGATGCTGGGCGTGGCATTGGGAATGTTTGGAACCGTGGCACTGTCGCAGATTGTCATCTCCCCACGTAAGAACGCAGGGCAGCGCGTCGGGGGGCTTCCCTGCTGTCAGAAGCCTAATCAACAGTAAAGTCTGCGGTAGTAGCGACGGAAACCGTCTTCTCTCTGAAGTGTTGCCCCCCCACCCCCACACACACACTACAAAGTACGTTCTTCTGTACGCATCGGGCCACAATTACGGTCAAATTCAGTCGGCAAAGCTAGTCCCTGTGGTTCAAGGAGGATTCCGACGTGTGTCTCGTGTCCAATGCCAAGTGGCAGAACAGCGTGGCTTGGCTGATTCCTGATCTTTCACACGTTGCCGACCGGCTGATTCTCCAGACCGGCCCTGAGAGTGAGCATTGTATGTTGTTGCTCAGGGGTTGACTTGGTAATTACGGGAAAGGAAAAGGGGTTGACTTAATTTTGTCGTAAGATAGGACCAGATACTGAGAGGTTTTCGTACAAATTGCTTCATACGGTGCATGCTTCCCACAGTTCAGTGTTTCTCTCCGTATCCTCGTCTGCTCCTTCTGTTTCCCTCTGTGCACACAGATGCTGTTAGCGCGTAGTATATTAACACGAGGGCTTGCTGGGAGAGCTACTCGGTAATCGAAGAAATCCCTGTACTCCTTATCAGAGTGCAACCTAAAGACTCTTCCAGTCCCTCTCCTTTTCCTCGTTTAGACGAGGACAAGGAACAAGGAAAAGGAAAATAATTCTGGGAGAGCTACCCGAAATGGCGCTGCTGCGAGGGGTTGCCGTGGAGAGAGGGGGGGAGGGGAGGGAGGGATGAGGAGGGATGAATGTATTCGTGGAGCATGAGGGGTAGTAAGTGGTGTCTCGTTGGACAGGAGGGGTAGGGACTTGTTCTCTCTCGCTTGCTTTAAGCGGATGATTCTTGCGCCCCTCGATCGAGAGATCAAAGAGTGCGTGTCCTGACGACTGCGTGCGTGCGTGCGTGCGTTCGTGGTCGATGAGTCTATTATCATCTTGGGAAGGATTGGTCGGCGGCGTGCGTCGACAATCAGAGGTGATATGCTAGCGCAAGGAGTTCGGTGGGATGTATCTGACAGTTAAAACGTGTAGATTCGGTCGAAAATCTCCAAGCGTAGGAATGCCCTGAAGCGTGTTATCGTTGTAGGTGGGCGGTGTTTTTGCTTGTTAGTTATGGAGCTGATTCTCTGCCGGTGCTGCTGCCGTTATGTGACAGCGCCTACAAGACTTCTATCTGTCTGTGCTCTTACGAAGCTGACGCGGGAGATGCGATGAAGGTTGGTGGTGGAGTGTCATGGAGTGGAAACTAACTGTCTGAGGTTGTCTCTCTCTCTCTCTCTCTCTCTCTCTCTCTCTCTCTCTCTCTCTCTCTCTCTCTCTCTCTCTCTCTCTCTCTCTCTGCCTCTCTCTCTCTCTCTGTCTCTCTCTTTTCTCTTTTCATGTTCTTGCCGTCAAGGTTCGTGTTCTCTGCCTTTATCCCTGCCAGCTATATGTCCATCCCTCTATGCGATTCCCTCTCGGATCCGAAAAAAGCCTGGCTTTCTATGCCCTGTCAAGATGTGTGCGTGTGTGTGTGTGTGTGTGTGTGTGTGCGCGAGGGGCCGCCTATAGACATCCTAAGCAAAGACACCGTGGCCAATGTAAACGGCCGAAGGTGCACCAGCCAATGTTGTTGGTTTGATTATTGGACTACGGCTTTTCCTCGGTAGGACTGGTGATTGAAGCGAAGCTCGTAAGGGTGCGTGACTGTGCTGCAATCGCTCTCTGAGGACAAGCTGCAGGATCTTTTCGTAGCAGGGAAAAACCACTGCTGCTGCTCTCTCTCTCTCTCTCTCTCTCTCTCTCTCTCTCTCTCTCTCTCTCTCTCTCTCTCTCTCTCTCTCTCTCTCTCTCTCTCTCTCTCTGTGGTTGCTCCTTCCTTTTCCTTGGCGGCAAATCTCTTCTCTCCCTAATATACACTAAGTCTGAAGGGTGTTGAGATGCTCCAAGGGCACACATCCACAGGTCTAATGTACTCGCACAGATCCACGTGGTGGATGCATATGACCGCAGTTATCGACCGCATTCGCTCGGTTTGCTAAGTACTAGGTCTCAGAGAGTCAGAGGCAAGCTGCATAACTTGTAAGTCGGAAAAACAACTCTCTTTCCTCCTTCACGTCCCCTCCCTTCTTCCCGTCTCCTCCCTCCTTCCTGTTTTTTTTTGTCTTCTGATTGCAGACCTTGATGGTGTGTCCCACTGTACCAAAATCTGTGCACCGTAGGTCGGAGGGCGAGGATTCCTGAGGAGGAGAATGCCAGCGAGAAGAGGAACCGCCGCACCGATCGTTGAGGCAGAGGACGGAAAAAGGGAGGGGAAATGTGTGTTCAACAAGCAGGGGAGGTGAGGGTGCTAGGACGCCAGCAGACAATAGCCAGCGGGTGGGTTGGTGTGTTTTCTGTATCGATTGATCGTGGGGATCTTGGAATCGTCGTGGAAGATCGAGAGGTTTCAAATGCGGCTGCCTCCCGTGGAGAGGGCTTGAATCTAATTAGAGCATCTGTGTAAGTTGATTACTACAAGGATTCTGCGTCCTGGACCTTATATCGATTAATTGTTAGTGTCAGCTCCCAGAAACAGAGTCTTCTTATTGCTTGAACATTAGCAAATAGGACCCGCTGGAGGGGAGGCAACGATGGCAGAAGAACATTTCTGTCGTCGAGGCAGCTGCTGCCCCTGATGCCCCGCCCGCCGTAGGGGGTATTACATGTGTAGAGAACTGCCAAGCAAGCAACACGGTTGTTCTCTACACCACCCAGTTTGTTATCCCCTTGCTCTTGAGAACCAATAGGAAACATTCCTGTCCGACGTTACCATAGCATTACCATAGCATTCACGGGGAGCGTCCACTGTCCACGAGAGAGAGTCCATATGTGTGGTTACCGAAGATCGCCGCCACACGTACTCTACACGAAAGCATGTGGGTCTTGGCCCTAGAAAACGAAGATTCACATGCTGTGGTTCACAGACGAAGAAGAGAACACTTGGCACTCGGACTCGTCGTAGAAGAAGAAGAGAGCAGGGGACGGGTGGACATGATCGAATTGATGGATCTGCAGAAGAAGGCTGATTGGACATGGATCCTATGCAGAAGCAGTCCTTTCTGTCGTGGAGATGGAGTTTTCTCTATTTGTGTGACGCTGTGTAAGCGGAGGGAGGCCGGATCGTGACGACGGACGCAGAAGGCTAATTGGACATGGATCCTACGCAGAAGCAGTCCTTTCTGTTGTGGAGATGGAGTTGTCTCTATTGGTTTGACGCTCTGTAAGCGGAGGGGGGCCGGATCGTGACGACGGACGATGACTGAGTTCGTGGGATCGAGGTTGTTCGGCGACAATGGACAGGCTGGAGTGGGTGCTGTCATACTGTCTGCGTGTGCCTCGCCGTCTTCTTGACGACGCGATTTCCGCCGAAACTGAAGGCAAGGGAAGCGAGAACGGGATCGAGGAGGCGTTGGCGGCAAAGCAGTGGCGGGAAACAGGTGGCAGTGGCGGGGAAGAATTGGCGGGAAGTCGCCGCTCAGCTCGCGAGGGTGTCAAAGAGGAATAGCGATGACGTCTTCGGTCAGCTTTGTGACTTGACGTGATCGAACGATGGCCGCGGGATGTCTCTGCGTTGCACCTACCTACCTGCTGAACTAAGGGGAAGGAGAAGTAAAAGAGAGCGTTTGTCGCCCTAGCTCTCTTCTATTACGAGATGCTAATACTATTATACAGTATGTTCTCAGATGCGGGCGGTGTGACTGCATTTCTATCGCCTATTGCTTGTTTTGTTGTCCTATTGCGTTGTGGAACGAAATAACACAGGGCGGTGTGATTCCGGCGCGCAGATTAGATCGACGACACAGCTTTATCGGATGACGTGGCTTGCTATTGTTGTATTATGCATGCCTTATATAGTCTTAAAAGAGATCTGTTTCAGATCGTCAGTCGTCATTAGCGGACGAAAAGTGGGGAGCGGTATTATGGGAAATCAATTGGATCGAATGGGCGCGCCGCACGTGCAGCGCGTAAGGCGGAGGATACTAAAGGAAGGGCGATCGGCGGTGTTCGTTCGCGCACACGCCGAAAAATGTTGGCGACATCGTTAGAGAGGGCTTGAAGCTTTTGATAGATCGCAGCCCTTGTGCGACGTGTGCGGCGCCTGGAGCGTGTATGCAGGGTGTTGCCGATCCCGTGTCCTTGTGCGACGTGTGCGGCAGTTGCGGATCGTTCCTCGTTTGCTTGCACGACGCACCCGTATCCTGAGAACTGACGGTGGTGGTGCTGCTGCTGCCAGGGACGGGTCCAGGTATGTTGCGCAGTCGGTTACCTGCCATCTCGGCGTCGCGCGGTCGGTTAGCTGGATCCAAGAGGATGAGGAAAGGAGTTAAGTAGAGAAGAAGAAGAAGAAGAAAAGTAGAAGAAGAAGAAGGAGAAGAAGGAGGAGGCAAACAAGGAGTGGGGTAATGGCGGACGACGGTCTTCTTGCTTTTCTTCTTGGTCTGTGCTGCGCAGCGCTAATCTGACCTTAGCAATAGGTTAGATTAGGGGGGGAGACTGAGGAGGGAGGAGGCTTACCTGCTGTGTTCTTCATGAGCTCTCTCGTAACAGAACAGATCGCCTACGAACTGTTCCCAACTGTGTGACGGCTTTTCTACAGGTGAGGGAGGAGACTGAAGGGAAGGAGGCGTTTGTACAGAGGGCTGAGGAGGGGGGAGACAGGGGGGGGGAAGGCTTTTGTACAGAGTACAAAGCGCGATAGGTCGTGTGTGATCGGGATCGTTCGTTGATTTAAGATTCACTATTCCTGCGGCTGCCGCTGCTCTACTGCCATCGGGACCTTCTGTGGTCATCGCCGTAGCCACCTGTCTGTCTGCAATCAACCATCGGGTTCGCTGATTAAATCGCTGACTAAATCGCTGATTGGATCGCTGATTGGATCGCTGATTGAATCGCTGATTGGATCGCTGATTGGATTGGTGGGGTTGCTCACCATGACTAGGGGTGGATGGTCGTCGTCCTCGTCCTTGGCTAACGGCGCCAAGGAGCGTGTGTCGCGGTCCCTCTCTCTGTCGCCATCTCCTTCACCCAAGCCGTTGAACACGGCTGGCGGAGCTGCGCGGATTGGCTCGATGGTATTGGCAGTAGTGGAGAATTCGAAGGGGCCGTCGGTCGACGAGGTACTTGAGGCAAAAAAGAAGTTGTTCGCGCGCACGCCGTTCTCGAAGGCCAGCACGACAGTCTCTGGGCGGAGGAGGATCATGCAAGCTGAGGGATTTCCCAAGGGGTGGAAGATTCTCATTGGCTGGAATTCCAAATACGGGGTCTTGCAGCTCTATCGACATTTCATGTCGTAAGTTCGACTAACATGTACCCCCAAAACAACGCCTTGCAGCCATTCAATGCAGCAACGAACAAACTTGATTCTTTTTTTCCCCAATTCTTTGCCGACAACGTAGGGACTCGCAGTGTCACTCAGAAAAAAAATCTGGAAAACGACGAATGATGTGGCGGGTGTATCTTCTTGCCTCGTTGTAAGGGAAAGATACATAGTCCGTTGTTTTTACCCACTTGTTTGATGAGCGGCGCGGCGAGGCGGCCTATAATCAACAGCTATAGCTACCAACAGCTATAGAAAGCGCATCAAAGGATATAAAGATCGCTTCCATATTCCGTTGTTGCGGGTGTTAAAAAAAACAAATAAAAAAAAAACAAAAAAAAAATCGCTTCCATATTCTCAACAGCACGTCGTGTGCTTCGAAACGAACGACATGTCGGTTGCCAAGTCAGGTTTCCCTCAAATTTCCGTCTTCCTTCTTTTGGGCCTCTAGTTGCTCTACTCGCCATCCGCCAATATTTTGAATGCATCAGAACAACGTGCCTGTTCAGATTCACTCTGAATTGTGGTGCATGGTGAGTAGTGCAACCAGGCCCTTTTCCTCAACGGAACGAACGCAGACGAGGGCGGTAAAGCATCAGACTGGCTACCGGTAGTGTCGCCTTGCCCATTTGTCTTGACATATTTGGAGAAGATAGGGTAGAGTGTTTGATTCCGTGCATAGTTGCACTACTCGCCATCCGCCATCGTTATGAATGCATCTGGACAAACCTGGTGTTCAGATTCATTTAGTATTTTGACGGACGGCGAGTGGTGCAACTCGGCCTTCAGTCATACATACACGTCTGTAACGAGTCCCATATATTCTGTATGATAGAGGTACGGTACAGGACGTGATTCAGACACACGTCTGCCCTGCTACTGCGTCAAGATGACCGCCATGGCCATTGGCGATTGATGTGTTCTGTGTCATTAATAGTAGTTATCATGGTTGCCGTGGTCGTTCACGTGTCCACGGTAGAGGACTGTTTCCATTGAACTCCTCCCTAATCGCGAATTGCGTCCAGAAACATTCAAGAGGAAAGTTGTAGTGTGAGTGGAGACGCCTTGCAATGTCTCGACGGTAGGAGGGATTCCTCCCTAACCGCGTCCAGGTACATACAAGAAAGAATAAAAATCCCAACTGTGTTTCCGTTCAATTCGCCCCTAACCGCGAACTGCGTCCAGAAACATTCAAGACGAAAGTTGTAGTGCGAGTGAAGACGCCTTCAATGAGTCGAGGGTAGGAGGACTAACCGCGAACCGCGTCCAGATACTTTCAAGAAAGAACTCCCAACTGTTTGAGCGAAGACGGCCTAAATGAAGGACAATGTGTCCTTCGGGACATCCGTTAAAACTGGAACGATACAGAGAAGATCGATTAGCATGGCCCCTCCTCCTACCCTCAAACCGCGTCCAGATACTTTCAAGAAAGAACTCCCAACTGTTTGAGCGAAGACGGCCTATATGAAGGACAATGTGTCCTTCGGGACATCCGTTAAAACTGGAACGATACAGAGAAGATCGATTAGCATGGCCCCTGCGCAAGGATGACACGCATAAATCGAGAAATGGTCCAAAAACAAAAATAAAAAACATAAAAAAATGAACGACAATGTTCGAGATTGCGGAATGGGTTGACGCAAAATCGTTTCGTGAGGATCACAGCGGAAGCAAATTTCAGACATTTATTTTTATTTTGGGTGTCTTCACTTACACTAGTAGGTAGGACTTGCATTTCTTGAATGTATCTGGACGGGGCTACGGTGGAATTCAGAGGAAATAGTCCTGCTGTTGCAGTGCGAGTGCGCAGTCTGGCTCGGTGGACTGAGGGTGTTCTTGTACTCGCACGTTGATTTTCCTAGATGTATCTGACGACAAGGGCATCCAAGTGCAGCTATCTGACACTAACCAAAGTCCTGCACTATGCCTTGTTAAGTGTTTTTCTCTATGTTTTTCGTTACTAAGGGCCTCGCCACACCACTGTCGAAACTAAAAACGAAAGAATGCATCTACCCCAGAAAGTCGTAAGATGCATCCGTTGCTATTCATAGTAACCGATGCATCTTGCCACGCTCTGCGTTAACCTTTTTTTTTTTTTTTCATTTTTTTTGAGCAGTTATCATTTTAGAATCAAAATCAATTGAGATCGAGGCCGGGGTCCTCACAATTCAACCGGGGGTAACCCAGAACCATGCTGGAAACCGGGTCCAGCGTCCCAAGCCCCTCTATCCTCTCTCAAAGAAAGAAAACAAAAAATCTCAAAACAAACCTTGAAGCTCAGTAAAAAAGGTCACTGCTGCTGATCTATCTGTTCCAATGTTTCAGCCTAGACCGGAGCTGGGGCCAAAACCCAGCTTAAGCTCTGCTGGAAACCGGGTCCAGGGTCCCTCCTCATCCAGCTTGGATGATCTTTCATCCAAAAGAGCTTAAGCTCACCAAAGGGACAGCAAGGGTTGTTAAAAGCTCTTAAGATCTCAGTAAACTCATCACTATCAGGTGAGGGATCGAAAACGGGAACCCTGATCCCTCGTCTAATATCCTCCCCTGCGTGAAACGTTAAAGCTCTGTGTCTTCTCAGTGGGGGGGAGAGAAGTCCTTCCTTCAAGGTGGTTTCAACGTTGAAGATGCACTCTTTAACTTTTTTCGTTTCGACAGTGGTGTGGCGAGGCCCTCGCCGCACCACTGACCGATCGCGAAAAAGACAAAAGCTATGGCGGGTGAATAGTTCCACGTTCTAGGGGAAGATACATTCTTCGTTTTGCACATTTGGCGAGTGGTACGCTATTGACGTTGTCGTCATTGTTCGGCCGATGGAATCATTTTGTTCGTGTCGAGAACCCTACGTTCCGCTAGAATGCGGAAAAGTACACGCGCCATAGCTTTGGTCCATTTTCTGTGTTTGTGTTTTATTTTGAGAGAGAAAAGGAGTTGCTTTGGTCTTTTTCTTATTTGGATACTGGCACGGTGAGGCCCTATTTTTTATGTCTTTACTTTCCCGTTTATGTATCTAACCGCTTATCCATCCTTAAGCGGCAAGGACGGCGTACAAGTGTGGCATAGACTTGTGCGTTTTAACCATGTCAGCACGTGTGCTCTCACACCAGGACTTTTCCCGACTGAATCTTGCCACGAATGTGGCAGGATGCATACCAAGAGAAGACAAGTGTGAGTGTGCCCTCAGATTCGCGTGGAATTTCATTATCCGGATCCCTACGTCGTGAACAGCCTGATGGGAACTGTATTAGGACGGGAGCAGGGGTTGTATACGTTTATGAAGATGACGCGTTGCTATTCGAGATAGGCAGATTCTATAGCTGGCAGAGCTGCGTGGTATGTATCACATGAGCGTCATCTTCACAGGCGCGTCACTCGCACTATCACTTTCCTAAATGCATCTGACCGCAATCACGGCCAAGCCTGAATGTATGTGTCTGCAGTCATGTCTAGAGCTCAGTCGAAAATCCTGGTGTGAGAATGGCCTGAGGATTGCGCATTCGCCCACAGCAGGATGCATCTGATCGCAATCACGTCCAGAGCTCAGTCGAAAAAGTCCTACATTTTCCAACCCCCTCCCCCCCCATCCTGCTCCCCATCGTCTATTCCTCCGCCCCTATATAGGCCCCTCGTCTTTCTGCCCTGGTAGAAATAGCTATCAGATCCTATTGTCATCTGTTATTCTTCATTTGTCTGAGTTGTTTTCGCTGTTCTATAGATAGATTCTTAGTTAGCAAACTATGTAGACTCAATCCTATTCTCTTTTCCCAACTAGGACACTCGGTTGGCCCGAGCCGCAGTAGGCTACATAGCAGGTGTTAGCGGGGAGGTGGGAGGGGAGGTGGGAGGAGAGTGTCGCCGTCGTTGGGGGAGCCCAGTGTTACTGGCTCCAATCAGCCGCTTTTGGGCTGGTTATCAGGCCGTTCTTTGCTCTAGGCCTGTGTATAGAAGTCACAAGAAGCGCGTCTTCCTTTCCCCGCCCTGTCTTTACCCCCGTCCTCATCCCATCTCACTTATTCCTCCTCCCTCTCTTTATTCTACCATCAATTCAGTCCCCGTCTATTAAGCTCTTAATCTCCGACTATTAGCTTTATCAGCATATATTGATATTGATATGAATGGTATCTCTTACAGATAAGAGTCCGGTCCGTTTGGTCCCGTTAAATGCGAAACCTGCCGATGCTGCCGGGATAACGCCGAGTGGAATTGTGAGGTCCCCTGCCTCGATTCATTTTGGAATTGAAATGGAATGCGTTCTCCTCGGGAAAAAAAAAAAAAGAAAGTCCTACATTTTTTTACTATCAAGTAAGTATACCCTGAGAGGTGTAACCAGTCTTCTCCTTTTTTTTCCTTCCTTTTCTTCCTCCACAGGTAAGGCAACAGCGAAGTCCGTTTTTGCTACACACCAGTATTTTTTGAGGGTCTGGCCAATTTCCGTTTTTGGTTACACAGGAGCACTTTTTGAGGTTTTGTCCAATTTCACAACACACAGGATAAGTAAGGGCATCCTAGCTCACACTAGGACTTTTTCACTTATTCTGGACGTATCGCCGTCAGATGCATCCAGGTCGCCCAGTAAATGTCGTCGGATACATTGAAGTGTAGAGCTAGTGTGAGTACGTCCTTTTTTTTGTGAGGTGGGGGTGGTTTGGGTTGTGGGGGGGGGGGGGGGATGTAAGTACGTCCAAGGATGGACGGGATCATTATAAGAGACGAGAAAGGAAAAAGGAAAAAGGAAAATGCAGTGCATCCTAGCTGTCGTTGCAGGTGGAGGGAGGTGTTTGTTCGGAAGGCTGCTGCAAGTCCATGGGCCTCGCTCCTCGACAACATTTGAGGGCGTTTTCTCACTAGGACTTTTTCTACCAAGCTCTGGACGTGATTGCGGGAAGATTCTTCCAGGTCTGGTCGTAATTGCAGTTAGATGCACTTAGTTCTCGTGTGAGTATGCGCTAAATGTAGCTGGTCTGCAGTCCAGCTGC